TACTTGTTTTGCTTTGAACGGATGACCCGTTAGCTTAACGGGTTGGGTTCGGATGGCCCGTTTGCTTAATGGGTTGGATTCGGGGTGACCTGTTAAATTGACGGGTCGGGTTGAACCTGACCCATTTACAGGTCTACTAAACCTAGTTAGAAACTATTTTTTTTTTTTTTAGTTTTACATATATTAAAATAAACGGTTAAATGGGTACCCATTTATAACCGCGGGTAATACCCATAACCGTCCATTTAAATTTCACGGGTAAACGGTTATACCCATAACCATTTATTTATCTAAACGGTTAACCATAACCGTAACTGTCAAATTTAAATGGACGGATAACCGCGGTTACCCATAACCAATGGGTATTTGCCCATCCCTAATGAGGATCCTCCTGACCAAGCCCATCGGACCATTGAAATTTTATCCAATGACTACAATTATTATAACTTTTAGAGGGGCCCCCTGTTTGTAGCCGTTGGATAAAATTTCAACGGCCCGATAAGCTTGGTCAGGAGGATCTTCACCCTTTGCTCAAGAGAGGATCCTGATCCGTATATTTTGATATGAGTCTAATGTATTGCACAATCATAGGTAGGGTCTAATAAGTAGAGCAATTAAAGTGTCCATAATTTGAAAACAAAATTGCACCAACTGTCATTGAATGTTTTATCATGACTCTTCCAGAATTAACACGGAACTTTAAGTTACACATCAAATCTCATCATTTCATAAAAAACTCTCATCCTTTTTAGTGTAAAATATATCGTTGTATTAAAAAAAAATAAAGTTACTCAACAAATCTCGTCGTTTCATAAAAAACTCTATCCGACTCCTGTTTTGAATTTTCCTCGCGATTCCTGCAGATTAGTATCGAAATTTGAATTTGAATTCGTATGAAGCTATGAGAACTCCAAGTAATTTTACACGTTTTCGTTGAGTCGTTTACAACAATAAGCTTCATTTTTGCTGGTATTTGTTACATGATTCTAGTCTACATGATTCACGAGCATTATACATTGATTGTCTTACGTAAGTAATTGCTTAAGAGGCTTTTGACATTGATTGTGTTAGCTTCGAGGGCTTTTAACATTACCAAGATGGAGGACTACATCTTACTATTAGAATCATGTAAAATTACTTATTCCACCATGATAGATAGTTACAATACGATAGGTAGTTTAGCTTGTACAAGTACTTATATGGCAGATAGTTTAGACTGTAAAAGTACTTATATAATAGGTAGTTTAGATTATAAAAGATCAGTTGAAATCTAAGTTTATGCCGGCTAATATTATAATATGATAGGTAGTTTAGCTTATACAAGTACTTATATGACATGTAGTTTAGACTGTAAAAGTACTTATATGATAGGTAGTTTAGATTATAAAAGATTAGCTGAAATCTGAGTTTATGCCGACTAATAAGGTACCTAAGTTGAAAAAAAAAAATAGAAAAAAAATATAACTAATAGTGAGGCCCCCCAAGAGATTTATAGGTGTCCAAAATTTTGGAAATGTCCTAAATTAATTTTAGGAAATATGAGGTGTGAATAGAATGGCTCTAACTTTAGCTTATAGCACACAGTTTTTTGTGAAAAAAAAAAATTTGAAATTTTTAGCTTTAAGAAATATTTTGCGCTGGAGATAAGGAAAATATTGCAAAACCTTTGGATGTAATCCTACCGATTATTAGGTCCTGAAACTATTTTTTATTGATTTTTAAAGTGAGAAAATAGAAAAATATCTTTAAATTTAGGTTTTAAATCATTGATTACAAGTGTTTAAAAATGAATTATAATATATTTTGCACAGAAAAAATATATTTTGAAAAACACGAATATGATAGTTTGTTATTATTGTAAGAGAAATAAAAGAAACATTAACAAAATAACAAATAAAAAAAAACTGAAAAAAAAAATTGAAAAGGGAGGGATCGGTATGAAGATAGCGACTTTTTTGGTATTAGTCGCTATCTTTTCAGCGATTATCTTTAATAAGAATAGCCAGCAACGTACCGATCGTATCATTTTTTTTTTCTTTTTTTTCTTTTTCCATTGAATAGCTATAGTAGAGTAAAATAGTAATCACAATGCAAAGTATCAACCTAACAACAAAAAGTGTTGACACATGGAGTCCTATCCATGGACCTAAATAAAAAATAACTAAAAATTGGACTAATCTAATTGTTAGGCCATAAAATTGGGAAATTGATCATTTCCAGATCTCTTCCATAAAATCCATCCAATCACTTAATTTGGACCCTTGAAATTTATTCCAACGGCTAAAGTTGTTATACCTTTTAAAGGGCCTGGATTGATTGATTGGGTGGATTTGGTGGAAGGGATCCAAAGAGGATCTATTTCCATAAATTGGACCTATTTCAAGTTAGTTTATTTACACATAACGGATTTGTAAGGAATAAGTTAATTTAAACCACATATTAATGAAACTCTTTTTTGTCAACTATAAGAGGGTGAAAAAACATTTTTGTCTTCTATCACAAAATAAAATTATGGACAATAAAGTAATTTGCACAAACTAAATTTTACAGTTGTTTTTAAAAGTATCATCTACATGTAATCCTAACAAATCACCTACAAGAACTCCTAGATTTTTATAGGTGTATTGTTTTATGAAACTTCGAATTTCTATGGCACTTATTTTCAAAACTTCAAGTTCGAGTTTAAGTACGAACTCTAGGTTTATGATACCTGCAAACAAACACAATATACGTATGTAGTGAACGGGAACAGCTTCGGGACCTATGTGTGAAAGAATGAGTGACAACCCAAAATATAGGGCTGTCGTGGCTTGTAAGCCCAAAAGAGTGGTTGTTGGGTTGCTGGGTAACAAAGGAGAAGTAAATGGGTTAACAAATTATATACCCAATTATTGGGCTAAGAAGGAAAATTGAAAAACAAGGCCTAACCCATAGGCTTGTAATTTCATGCGAGCCAAAAATAAAATAAAGCCCAAAAGAAAAAGAAAAAAAAAACAAGTGGGACGGTTTGATGCATATGCCTTAATTGGGTTGCAGGTCGACTGCAGGCAGCCCAGGTCCGTAAGAAAGGTGATGCAAAACGGCTTTATTTTGGACCTTAGAGTTTTGAAGCAAGAACGACTTGGTGGCTCAAGCAGCGCGACTTCAGGCTGCAGCTCCCATGCGTGTAGGGTTTGAAAAATCCCATTTTTTTCTTCTCTTATTCACACATATTCAATTCACCACAATTATAAGAACAATAGATTTAAGCTGAATCTATAATTTGAAGAAAAAAAAAACGTAAAATTAGAGTTCATGCTTCATGGTGAATGTTTCATGCAATCATTGATGAAAAAATATCGAAATTGAAACCATGTTTTATAGATTACTTGGATTGCTTGATGAATATTGTGAACGACTTTGTAGTAAACAAGCATTCAGTTCCTTAGCTCAGTGTCAGGAACGTGTTTAACAATGCGTTGTGACCTAAATTTACCTTTTAATAAAAGAGAGAGGGGTGGAGCTACATAAAGAGAAAAGATAGGCTTGGGAATTACTGTGATGATATTTCTCTGTACCTTGTACCTTTTAAAAAAAAATAATGGGGTTACTTGCCCTACAAGTAATACAAAGTTGTGCCTTTTTGTTTTTTGTAATTAATTCTTGAATTGTTTCTCACTAACATTAATAGTTATTGAGACTATAAATACTCAAATAATGATTTATGTTATGAAATTGGTGTGAATGCCCACGTAAAGAAAACAGCCACATATGGCTAAGGGTGGAAAGTGGAAGAATAGAAGTCAAAATTATATTGCTTAAATAGTAGAAGTTTGGTTTTTATTGTTTTGGTGTGTAAGCCTTTTACATGCATTAAAAGAGACATATGCTTATATCATATGGGTAGCATAAAAAGATGAAAAGCAGAAAGTAATATTAATCATGGTTTTTTCATTTGTCCATCTCTACGTTTATTTCTCTTATCTGATACCAATGAAGAAAATAAACAGAATAATATATGGCTCCTGTTTCAATTCAATCTCTAACAACTCTAATAATATATATAGGTACGCATCATCTGATAATAACATGTTTCTAAATGCTCAAAGTAATCATTATCTTGAATTGGTCAAAACTCCAAAAGATTCCAAAACAAAATTGTCGAACACTCTAATGCTTTAGCACATTCAATCACATATATTAAATATTAGCTCATTCTATCAAATATATCTCGGGATACTAAACCTAGTTAGAAACTAATTTTTTTTTTTTTTTAAGTTTTACGTATATTAAAATAAACGGTTAAATGGGTACCCGTTTATAACCGTGGGTAATACCTATAATTGCCCGTTTAAATTTCACGGGTAAATGGTTATACCCATTACCGTTTATTTATCTAAACGATTACCTATAACCGTAACCGTAAATGGACGGATAATCACGGTTACCCATAACCAATGAGTATTTGTCCATCCCTAATTGGTCTACAAGTACAACATACTTATTCTCTCTCCTCATTGATAACTCATCTTGATTTTTTCTATTATTCATCTCTAATTCTAAATAAGTAAATATTCAACAATTGGAAATATAGATTGGAAATATAGTGTTGTATCATCATTTATGAAATTTCTTGAATTTCAAGATATGATCGTCGCACGACACGACCCGTTATCAAATCAAATCGTTCCTTGATTACTTGTTAAGATAACAGATTCGACACGACAAAATCCGTTAAGATAACTGATATGACACGAACACGACAAATACATCCGTTTGCTAGGCCTAGTTGCATGTCTAATTTTTAACCAAACCGTCCAAATTAAAATATTAGGAAGCATGTTACCAAATTACCAAATATCGCAACACCGAGTAAAGCTGCACAAGTGTATTACTTCGCCGGAAGAATGGTTGGAAGACGGTGATGATAGCCGCCTCCGACCGTGAAGTACATACAAAACCAGTTCTCAAAATACAACATGCAAGATGAAGCAATCGGCAAGTTAATTTGCAAATCAAAGTTGCAATAACAGATCAATTTATTGGATGAATAAAACAGCAAACATAGCAGTTCGTTGGATTTCTGTATTTCTCAGTCTTTTAAGATACAACAAGAAATGGAGATGAAAAATCAACACCGATTCCTTAGTCGATGGAATTAAAACTTGAAAACTAAGTTTCTGTCTAGAAATCTGGAAGGAACAACAGAGGAAGAACAACGGTCTGTTCTTCCTAAATTGAAAGGCCCCATACCTGTCCCTCCCAAAACTAAACTCTAAATCTGGAAAAAACATCTTCAACCCATTGAATACTTCTGAGTCCAGCTACGTGCGGTGGATTCGTACTTGGCTCGATCAGTTTTGTACATGTGTGCGATCTCCGGCACGAGAGGGTCATCGGGATTTGGGTCAGTCAACAATGAGCAGATTGAGAGCAATACCTGGTTAATGCAAAATGGGCTTGGTGAATACAATCCTAACCATCTCAGGGAAATTTTTAGAAATATAAAGGAAGACTAAGAAGTCGTGGCTGATATAAAAAACTATGAGAACTCTGTGAAGCATCAAGGCAGCGTGTATACCAATTCCAGATAAAACCAGAGTACAAAGACAAAAACAATGTTATGCAGGATTCAAGGAAATATTACAAGAAAATGAAGTCAAACAAACATAAACTTAGTCCGAAAAAGACAAACCTTAGAGATAGTAAGTGCTGGGCTCCATTGCTCTTTCAGGATATCAAGGCAAATGCTTCCATTGCTATTGATATTCGGGTGGAAGACCTTAGTCCTAAATGCAACCTGAAACACGAAATCCCATTATCCTTGTCGAACAAACAATTACCAGACCGACATCACAACAAAGCAGGACCGAATTTTTCACATAAGATTGTACAATTTACCTTGGGGGGCTTGAAAGGATAATCTGGAGGGAAATGAATGGTGACCAGGAATACACCTCCTGCGTATGGGCTATCAGGAGGTCCCATAATCGTTGCTTGCCAATGAAACATGTCCTCAGCCACAGGACCTAATACAAAATTAACAATGAATTTTAGGTCAATATCCACTTGGGTAATCATATAATCGATAATTATATCAACCATTCCCACAAATCATCGAAATCGACAAGCATTGACAGCCGCATCTCTATGGTAATCATCAATTTATCATAACAAAGTAACAAAGTCTTGAACTTTTGAATCTTAAATCATAACAAAGTTTCTGCAATTATAAATTTTGAAAATAAACTTCGCGCCGAGAACCACATCTCTATACTAATCATCAATTTACCATAACAAAATAAGAAAAGCTTTGAACTTTAAGTGCAAAATCGTAACAAAACTGCACAAATTAAAACTTAAAACTCAATTAAAAGTACCTGCGCTGCAAGAAGTTGGAGGATCCTTCTGCAAATCCTTGAGCTCTTTCAAGATGCGTTTCGACGCCATGACGAATCCCAATCGCTCACAGATCACAACTCAGAACTCGCAACCCAGGATCCGAAAATCTGTAAAATCAAACAATTTAAGATCAAACCCAATAATTTCCACACCCAAATCATCAAAACCCGAAAAAAAAAAAAACTTCGCAATTCGAAATCAAACCATCATCAGATCAAATAAAAACAATTTCCAAGTTTCCATCAATCAAATACCAGAGAGATCGGACAGAAATATCCGCAGCAGAGGGAAACGGGTATGAAACAGCGATCCGGAGCTCCGCCCACAAAAGCTTCCGCTACCGCCGATCGCCCGTTTCGATTGAGACCCCCTGATTTTTTTCCGAACAAGAACTCAGAGACTCTGTGGACTTCCTTTTCAACGCTTTTTATACACCGTGTTTTCACCGTCTATGAAAACTCTTCTCCATCTTTCTTATCCGTTACTTTTTCCTTCTCTTTTTTTAAATTTTTTTTTTTTATATTTGTAACCGTTATTTACGGCGGCTTTCTAATTTAAAATTTTTAATTTTGGTGTGAAAATTAGGGGCGTCGGCGGTTTGGACTGCGGCTCACCTAATTTGCATCGACTTATCCAACTAGGAAATTTTTGGGCGACCCAATAATTATTTGGATTAAATTTGGGTTGGTCGACTTGATGAAATGAAGCCGGAGAAAGGAATAAGCATGGACCTTTTTATTTGAGGCTACTTCTAGTTTACTTGATTTCCACTTTGATATGTATAATTTTTTGTTATATTTTGTTTCCTTGTAATTCCATTTTGCTTTTATTTTAATTTAATCCGTCAACTGAGCTGCCATTACATTATTATTTAGTTGTATTAAAAATGAGAAATTTTAAGGTCGAGTTTTATAAATGATGAGTTTGATTTTATATTATTAAGTAGATGAAAAGGGTTCGAAACTGCTAGGTTAATTTATGAAAGATGACAGTTTTAAACTCGTATGAGCAGAAACTTAATACTTTATCTGCTAACGTATTAAACCATATATAAAAGAAATACATCTCAAATGATTAAATTGTTCATTTCAAAATTTAATTAATTTACCCCATTTGATTGATTGGACTAACGATTCTAACATAAACAAGGAAGAAGTGACAAATACAATAATAGGCACCAAAGTGAAGTTCTCAATAAACGAAACCGACCATTGAATACAATTTCATTAGAATAATGAGTTTAACTTCAATGCTACGTAATATTAAATACTGTGAGCATTAGATAATCCAGACCAAAGTAAAAACAATAAATCCAAACCAATCCAAATTATCCAACATCGATAGCATGCATTTAGGTACCGTTTGGTACGCAGACGGGATGGAACAGAACGAGAAGGGATGGGACGGAACAGAATGAAATGAAATGGAGGTTCTGTGTCATGCTTGGTACGCGCAGGTTGGAACGGAATGAAACGGAGGTTCTGCATTTTTGTCTTAAAATTTTATAATTTTGTGTTCCAGGAGGAAGTGGAACTGGAAATTTAACCAAAATTTGTTTCGTAAGACAGTGTGTCCCACTGTCTTTGACACACCAAATGTGAAACGAGTGCATTTCATCCACTGCGTTCCGTCTCATCGCACGTACCAAACTCTATTAGCATGGAAGAACTTTCCAAAATAATAGGAACACGCGAAAAACGTACAAGAAATTATAAAAGAACGCAAAGAAGGCCCTTCCCGGCATCCTTTCTTAAAGACAAAAACAACATCCAATCGGCAAAATCTCAGTGAAGTAAAAATACAACAGCAACAAGTCGGATCCGGATTCGGGTCTATCCGTACGATTCGATTTCATTCTCCGGTGGCGGCAGAGAAGGAGGCGGAGCATTTTGTGAGCCTAACAATGGAGGACGATAAGAAGAAGAAGAAGAAGAGGAACAAGAAGAAGAAGAACAAGCAGGGCGAGGCCACCGACGATGTTTCTGTTTCCGGCAACGGACAAGTTTCTCAGGCAGCCGGAGATGTTCATTCCGACGATGCCTCGTCCGTCGGCAATGGCCAGGTTTCAGAGGCCTGTGCGGGTGCTCGTTCCGATGCTGTGCGAGACGGAGACGGATATGTGAATGGGAAGAGGCATGAGAGCAATGGCACGGAATCTGTAAGCTTCTATTTCATTAATCTACTGATTAGGATTAGTGATTGATGTTTATCACTAAACCTTTTGAATTTGGATTGGATCAATCACCAGCTGATTGTGCATTGCGTTTTGTGAATTTTGCGTTTTTTGAATTAATTTTTACTTTTGCAGAGATTATTAGCTGAATCTGAGAAAAAATGGCTCCAAAGAGAGGTTAGTATGAAGATGGATTACCTTACAACAGAGTTTATATTTCAATTTTGTTACGAAAGTTTTCGTCTTGAGCAGAAAATGACCCTAGTTTTTACAGGATACATTAGAAGAAACAATCAAACAATTACAAATCGAAAAGGACGTATACATACAGAAGGAGGTAAACATAATGAAAATCTGAACTTTATGAACCGTGGACCGAAGATTAGGGTCATTTATCGTCATTCATTGGGTTTAAAGTTTAAACTTTTTATGTTATTTCATATTTTCAGGCTACATTAGGGGTTACTATTAAACAATTACAGAATGAGAATGATTCGCGTATACAGAAAGAGGTACTGCATTTTACTTTTGATTTAAGATGTTGGACTGAGAGAGAGCAGTTGAAACCTTTTCTTATCTGGTATGGTTCTTGATGACCATTCCTTTTGCCTGTGTATGATTTACTCAGGCAACATTGCATGATACAATTAAGAAAATGCGGGAAGAAACGGATTCACATATACAGAAAGAGGTAATGTCATCTATATTTACTCAAGACAATTAGCTGACAAAGAGTTAGTCCATATCTGTGTTTATGATTGTGCTCTATCACATTATATATTGCAAATGTATGCTTGTTCTGCATGCATTTTGAAGACTGTGGGCCTAATTGGATGTTTTACAGGCTGTTCTACAGATGGAAAATGAACATTTACAGAGCGAAAAAGTTTTGTGGCTTCAGAAAGAGGTGATATGAGTTGCATCATAGGGCTCTTTTGAATTATGGTCATCTCTCAAAGCAAGTGCACCTCTATGTTTTTTTCTTCACCAGAATGCACATAATTATGCTTTTTCTAGTGTTTGGTACAACATTATTGTAAACAAGATTGCAAACTAGAGGAATAGGTTGGTAATGCTGTGTTTGTTGCAGGTTGGATTAGAGGACAAAATTGGTTGGTTAGTAGATGAAAAAGGCACTTTGCATTCGGAAAAGGTTAGAGCCGCCCTCCTTTATTGTAACCGCATAACTAATACTCTGTTTGGCCTTCCTTGATTGACTTCACTCCTGTTTTGCATTGTTTGACAGACAAGCTTACAGGAAAAGGTTAAACATCTAGAGGGAGATAGAGAGACCTGGACTCTAAAGGAGGTACTCAAATACTCTAATAAGTCTTAAATGTAAATTGTAGGTGACAAATATTTGGCCAATGAGTTTATTGCTATTTGCACCTGAAAATTTGTCGGAATGTAATTTCCATGTCTGTAAAAGTAAAGAAATAAATGAAATTTGAAATATACACCAGCGTGGTTTCATCTTCTGAAACTCTTTTGTTACTTAATATTCCTTTTTACTTAGGTAAGTGTTATTGGCACTCCAAAATTCTCGTTCTACACTCCTCACAAGTGTATTTTTCTTTCCTAATATAGAAAGTTCGGAGTGTAGAATGAGATTTTGGAGTGCTAATAACAATTCCCTTACTTAATCTTTCTCTTATCATTTTATATTAGAGACTTAGATTCACATAACATTTGGCTCTTATAGGATTCGTTTAAGGGAACGTTAGCAACTCTGAATGACGATATTGCTAGATTACGAGCACAGGTATGTAGCTGTATTGACCCAACCAATCAACTGGATGGATTCAAATTAAATTGCTTTTTATCTCAGTTGTCCACATGCATACCTACTTGTTTGAGTACAGAGTAGTTTGACTATTGCTGTGCTTTCTTAGAACCTGTATGATAGGTTTGATTCAAGGCAGACCGTATTCCTTTTTGCGTGCTCTAATTTCTGTTCACAAGTAGTTCACATAAAATCTTTGTATTTTCTTCTGATATGGAAATTAAAACCAAAGTTGGGCAGGTGTCGGAATTGGAACAATCCAGGAATAATCTTGTACAAGAAAATCAACAGCTGATGGAAAACATTTCTAGTTGCAGTTGCAAATTAAGAATCTTGAGAGTGTCTACTCTACTCCAGCATCAGACGAACTTGCAAAGGTTTGCTCCTATTTGCTTACCTGATGACCAAATTTTATCAGTAGCTTTATTCATAATAAGGGATACTAAGTTTGCGGGAGTTATGTTTCTCAAAGAACGAATTCTTACAATGGTGTTTGGAAAATTTTATTAACTACTATGAGCAATAAATTTGTCAGTTTTGCTGGAAATTTTTGAAAAATAAAATATCTGACAAAGGGCTTTTTTTCTTTCTATTATTGCTTTCTTGACATATTACTTGTCAAAGGACGAAACATATATCTGACTTTGTGTTAATGTAGCAGGCTTCGGAACATGAGGAATTGAACTCTCAGGTTGAAGCAACATGTTCACTAGTTGAGAAATTAGTTGCAGAGAATGCAGAGCTTGTTGAGAAGGTGAAAGCCTGCTTCCCTCCCGTGGTTTCTATGGGAGTAATGCGTACAGTCCGTGTTATACATTGAGACACCTGCGATTAGATTTTAGCTATTACTATAAGATTTTGATGGGCTGACTAGTTGTCTGATATATCTTTTACTCTATCCTAGGTGAATGAGTTGTATGGTGAACTTAACCGACGGAGCCTCACAGTTGAATTTACTTCAACAACAGAATCTAATACACCAGTTGTACCTCCTGAAGCTGCCAGTGTCATTGATCCCGTGTCTGTATCCACTGAGGATATGTCGACATCAGACGAGAAGCTTGATTCCCCAAAAGGTGTTCCAATCAAACAGGAGATGCATAGTAATGGTAACGTGGATTCTGAACATGCTGCTTTAGTTCCAGAACTGCCAGTATCCGATGAAGTTAGTGAAATTGTTCAAATTCCGTTGGATGAGAATGAAGTCAGAAATCTAGAGGTGTCTCTCGAGAATGACAAAAATGCCGGTGTGCCGCTTGCAGAAGCTCCCCTGATCGGTGCTCCTTTCCGGTTGATGTCATATGTTGCTAGATATGTTAGCGGTGCTGACTTGGTTAACAAGGGATCTACTTAAGTCTAGTTATTAGCTTCTACCTCGCCAGTGAGCAGGGGCATAATTTCCTGAGATTTTTGTCGAAGTAAGAAATACTATTCTTTTAGAGATTAGAGACAGGCCTTTACTTTGGCCATTTACATTGTTAAAGTATCAGAAACTGTAACTTGTGTTGAAGAAATACTTGTAAGCTGCGTGTTTTTCGCAACAGGACAACACTTAGCTCATCAACCGCACCTTCTTTTATACACTGAATTCTACTTTTAGGGCGGGTAGCGCTCGTGATTACAAAAAAAAAAATATTTGTCAATCTCCTTATTTCTCTCCTACATTTTCATTTTAGCCGATTGTCTTCTAAATTCTTATAATTAGCCGAACTTCTCACCAAAACTTTTAGTCTTAATCAAATCAATTCTTTTTTTTTTTTGTAAGTGAAAGGTTTTAGGTTCAATTTTCGCTAATGATGAATTTAAACTATATTATTGTTAATCTATTATGAGGTTTAGCATATTCTTCCACTCTTTTATTGTAAATAATATCGTTTGTTTAGAAATAAAAATATAAAAAATAAAATCAGTAATAGGTGAACAACAGAACATGTACTTGGCACATGCATATTTAACGGAAAATCGGTTGGACGTTTCAAAACTAACAGTAAGGTGTAAATTGGCAAATGCAATAACGTTTAGGGAGTAAATTGGCAAAAAACTAATTCAGGGGCAAACTGGGAGAAACATACTAGTTGAGGGGGTAAACGACAGTTTACCCATAAACATAATAGACTAAACTTGTATCACCATTTACTCCAACCCCATCTGCTAGCCTCTCTCTCTCTGCGCATACAAATCTGGATCTAGATGCATCCGGCGCTCTCTCTTCTCCGGTGGAATTTTGCCACGGCGCTCTCTCCCACCTTCACAGACAGTCTCTCTTCTCTTTCTGTCAGTCCCTGATGCATCCGGATCTAGATGTGGGCAAAAATCAGCGGCCAAAGACCTCCAGATTCAATCTCTCAGTCCCTGATGCATCCGGATCTGGATGTGGGCAAAGACACGGTGGACCTCAATCATATCAAGCACTCGGAAACCAGGGATGACTTTTTAGGCTAAAAATGTCCTTAAAAATAAACAGTATTGTTTCTTTAAGACTACCTTTAATAAATTAATTATAATGTTTTAAAAAGCAGGATATCGGTACATTTGATTGTACGGTGATTTGATTATGTCGGCACATATGGTGATTTGACTTTATACTTGTTTAAAAATCCATCAAAATCGCCAAGGAAGTCGACAGAAATCCTTAAAAAGCCTTTAGGGACACTTGGTGGTGCCTTTTTGGCCAGTTTTCTTCAGCCTGATTGTTCAAAGTTCCGAGATCTCATAGACGTTGGAATTCTGGACATGTTGCTGGTTTTATATGCGAAGCCATACAGGTACCTCACCAAATTAACATTCAATTTTTTACCAACTCAACCCAACCCAACCCTTGAAGCGAAATGCGGAAAAAGGGAAGAAAAAATAAAATCCATGGATCCCGACCCATTTCATTACAACTTTTTGTTTATGTGACGGGGAGTAGGAGGAATCGTAGAGTTGTTCATCCCTGACGAGGAACAGTCTGGTTCCGCTCTTCTGGTGGTTTGAGTGTCATGGTGTTGTGCTTGACATTGTCACAATAGCAAAGGTTAAAAAACATCACCTGGGCAGCTACTTTCAATTGGCCAGGCCAGCAGCGGGACCTCCATCATCATCCTCTTTACGCTGTTTCTTACTTTCAGGACCAGCATCATCATGAGCCCTGACTTTTTTCTTTTTCTCTTTTTTCTTTCTTGGAGGACCGCTCTTTTTTGGAATAATGGTGCTCGGCGTCTTGTCAATCCAGCGTCTCAAGGCACTGCTGCGAGTCGGAGTAGTTGGAATAATGGTGCTCGGCCTCATGCGCCTCCTGGAGTCGAGAGAGTCGGGAGTCTCGGGAGCCATGAAGACCCTCCTGGAGTTCTTGCATCAGATCTTGGGGATTGGGAATGGATCGAGAGAGAGAAAGGGTTCCAGGAGGCGGCAGACTAGGGATTTGCTTTTTCCTGAAAATAAGAAACAGCGTAAAGACGATGATGATGGAAGTCCCGCTGCTGCTGCTGGCCTGGACAATTGATAGTAGCAGCCCAGGTGATGTTTTTTAACCTTTGCCACTGTGATAATGTCAGGCACAACACCATGACCCTCAAACCACCAGAAGAGTGGAACCAGACTGTTCCTCGTCAGGGATGAACAGCTCTACGATTCCCCCTACTCCTCATCATATAAACAAAAAATTGTAATGAAATGGGTCGAGATCCATGGATTTTTTTTCTTTTCCTTTTTCCGCATTTCGCTCCAAAGGTTGGGTTGGGTTGATAAAAAATTGAATGTTAATCTGGTGAGGTACCTGTATGGCTTCGCATATAAAACTAGTGTCTCAAGTCAGTGTTGAGTTGCAAATTAGAGGAATTGGTCGGTAATGCTGTGTTTGTTGCAGGTTGGATTCGTGGAGAAAATTGGTCGGCTAGTAGATGAATCGAGTATCATAAGCTTCCAGGAAAAGGTAAACCTATCATAGATCCTGTATGATAGGTTTGAATCGAGTCAGACCATTGTCCTTGTTGCATGCTCATCCTAAGTTCTGTTCGCAATTAGCTCACATAAAATCTCTGTATTTTCTTTTGATATGGAATTTAAAACCAAAGCTGGGCAGGTGTCGGAATTGGAACAATCCAGGAATAATCTTGTACGAGAAAACGAACAGCTGATGGAAAACATATCTCGTTTTTGCAGTTTCAAAATAAGTATCTTGAGTGTGTCTACTCTACTCCATCATTGGCTAAGGGATACTAAGTTTGCCGAGTGTTTATGTTTCCCAGAGAACAAATTCTTACAATGGTGTTTGGAAACTTTTATGAACTCCTATGAGCGATAAATCTATCAGTTTTGCTGAGAAATATTTTAAATATAAAAAATCTGACAACGATCTCTTTCTCTATCATTGCTTTCTTGACATATTACTTGTCAAATGACGAAAAATGTGTCTGACTTTGTGTTAATGTAGCATGCTCTGAAATGTGAGGAATTGAACTCTCAGGTTGAAGCAGCATGTTCACTGGTTGAGAAATTAGTTGCAGAAAATGCAGAGCTTGTTGAGAAGTTGAAAAGCTGCTTCCCTCCCGTAGTTTCTATAGGAGTAATGTGTACAGTCGTGTTATACATTGAGACACCTGTGATTAGGTTTTATATATTACTATAAGATTTTGATGGGCTGACTGGTTGTCTGACATATCTTTTACTCTATCCTTGGTAAATGAGTTGTATAGTGAACTTGAACGACGGAGCCTCACAGTTGAACTCGCTTCAACAACAGAATCTAATACAACCGTTATGCCTCCTGAAACTGCCAGTGTCATTGATGCCGTGTCTCTGATGAGATTAGTGAAATAGTTCAAATACCGTTGCATGAGAATGAAGTCGGGAATCTGGAGGTGTCTCTCAAGAATGACAAAAATGCTGGTGTGCCACTCATAGAAGATCCGCCGATTGGTGCTCCTTTTTGGTTAATGTCATATGTTGCTAGATATGTTTGGGGGCATGATTTCCTCAGATTTTTGTGGAAGTAAGAAATACGATTCTTCTGGAGATTAAAGCCGGGCCTTTATTTTGGCCATTTACATTGTCAGAGTATCAAAAAATGTAACTTGTGTTGAAGAAATACTTGTAAGCTGTGTGTTTTTTGCAGCAGGTTTGTACGTTTTTGGCAATAGAATTTGCTTTTCAATTACGGGAGTTTGGTCTTTTTAAATTCTTGCCATCGTCTGAAAAGTGATGATGGTCTGTTCTCAGGATATCGGATTTCCTCGATCATCCTGTTCCTAACTTCTTCTTCCATGGTAGGTCTCATATCCGGCACCCTTGCCACCCAAGTCATTTGCTATTTGAAGCATTTGTGCCAACTCTTGCTTGAAATTTTGATACCTCATTAGCCCAAGAATTAACTTTAAATTCTGAAGTGATAAATAGTCCATGTGTTTGCTGCAACGGGCTATCTTAGATTAAATTAGTTTTATGAACTGTGTTAGACTGAATTAGTGAAGCGTTTGATGAGAATCAGACTAAGAATCATGACATTGAAAACCTAGAATTACACCTAATGCCTTAAGGAAATTGAGGCATTGAAATCCAAAATTGAACCCTCAAAATTCTAGAATTGCTACAAAATTTGCAAAAAGAAAAAAAGAAATTTCACCAAATCCAGGAAATCTAACCAACAATCAACGGATGAGATCAATTCGTCGGGAGGATCCCACGGGATTGATCCCGAGGGGATCTGAGTAGTTTGTACGTGCCCTCGTTGACAGAAAACAAACCGTCGTTGAGTCATCCCTCTCAATCTCAATCGAATCCCTAGGGTGTAGGGTTTCGAAGCTGAACAAAAGCACAATCGAGAGGTAAAGGGCGTGGCATTGATTCAAATCCGAAATCTCCGGCCATGGCAGACAATCAGTGGCGCCGTAATGCTCTCCGGTCCCATGCAGAGGGTGTCCGGTTCCATATGGAGGCTATCCGGTCCTATTTAAGGGCTTCCCCGACCGAGCCCGCTCACCACCAGGTGACCGCGGACCAGATTCTGGCGCCATTCTGCTCCCGTTCCCGGAGAACGAAACAGCAACACCGGCAGTTTCGGACGAAGCCGGGAACGCCGATGATCCAAGCGAAGATGACACGAGCGAGTGCTCAGATGCTGACATGGGCACGGGCGAACATGATCATCCACTACATGAACCACTAGTTCCAAGCGAACGAGGCCCATTCACTGAAAAATTCTCACCAGAAACTAATGGTAATTAATATTTATTTTTTTTATTTTGAAGAAGATTTGTAACATTCTGTATCTCCATTGTTTTGTACAGTGGAATGGTTGCAAGCTGCTTGGCCGAGGGTTCAATTGGCTTTTGAGCGCTTTGGCTTTCAGGCCAAATTGGATCTGGTCAGTTGCTCTCTTTCGCTTTCTCTCTGCTCAAGTGTCATAAATTATTGCATATTTTTCATGTTTCTGATACGAACTTGTTGCATTTCAAATTCTATTCATTCAGGACAAGAGTTGCGTAACAGCCGTCGCAATTGGGGATGATCATACTAAGTTCCCATTTTCTGCGTGGCATTTTGTTAAACTTTTGGCAAAAACAAATCTGCCACCTTCTTTGGTACTTCAATTACCATTTTTCATCTGACTTGTTAGCCCGCGAGCCTTTTGTTTCAACAGTTTTCTGATACGTCAACCCATGGTTCTGATTTCAGGCAATCGAAATAGTGAATGGCCTTAGGTTACATATCCATTACGAGATTGGGTTTGGATCCTCTTATGGCTCCTTGGTGAACAATGTGAGTATTTGGCAAGTTTCCTTTCATTTTTCTCTCACTGATCACTATTTTGTTAACCACATATCCCCAATACCTATACTTTCTCCAGGAGGAATTTGAGAAGCAGCGCCAACTTCTCGTGGCCTCTCAAAGGTACATCTCTGTAGCTTTACTGTTTTCGAGATTAATTTAGACAATCCTTAATGCAAAGTATCTATAACTCTACTGATATTTGCAGCACATTTACGAGCTGTCTCGCTGTATCATTTATGTTACAGTAAGTCCCCACTTTTTTTTCTTTATGTTGTTTAGCTGCTAGCTTCCTTCTCCTTTCTAGCCATTTTCTAACACGTCTATCTGAGAGTGCGCAGGAATGCTCTTTCACTGCCGTGGGGGATTATATTCGGCCTTTAAAGGCCGTCGATGAACTTATGTCACTCTGCTTGAACTCGGGTTACCATCCTGCCTACATCATTAAGCACCTTGAACCCGGTTTAAATGATAAGTTTGGGCCTTTCCTTACTAAACTGTAAGCCGTTGTTCTTCCCTTTCTATACCAGAATCACCTTTCCTTTTTAACTGTAAGTAGCATCAACTGAAATCTTCTTAACTCAAATAACAGATGGAACAACAAACTTGACAACCCCGACAAGTGGCAGGACATCTCCTGGTCTAAGTCCCTTCCTATCTCTGAGGATATTGGTACCTTTCTCCTTCTTTCTGATGTAGGAAAGATGAATTATTACTTTTTTTTTTTTTTTTTCCTTTTTCAAAATTTAAGCGTGATTCTGAGATCGTACTCAAGCCAAAGTAGTCTTTAGTTGTGGACATGATATTTTTAACCATGAAGTGTTCCGGCTGGGTCGCAGTTACGATACACACAACCATTTTTCTGTGTATAAAAACTATCTTCTTTACATATTGATTTGTCAGATACCTCTAGTTACTGACTGCAAGTGCCTTGTCCAATTTTACAACGTAAGAAAAAAAAATTACAATTTTTTTGTGCTTTAATGCAGCTGTAACGATTCTTTTGACTCGGCAAGATACTCGTCCTGCAATTCTTTGTGTTGCTTTTGTTTAATTTTCCGCGAGGACTTATTGCATGCGTTAGTTTTTTTTTACTTGTTGCAACTCCAATTATTTGAAACAACAGATACTTACCCAGTTATAAGCCTTTGTTGTTGTTTTTTCTGGGCAGCAAATAGCCTAGATGTGTACAGGCCGCAGTTGGAATCGTCTTTGGAAGAGCAAGTAATAACCTGGACAGTAGACGTGGTATATATATCACGATGAAATATGAGTGCAAGTCATTAATCTTTCTGGAACCTGCTTTTGATCAATTAATGATTTTTCTTTCATATTATCGTCAGGACAACAAATCCACGACGGTTTCAGTAATCAGTGGGGACCAACGTATTATTGACAAGGCTTCTCAAATTCTTGAACTCATGGCCAAGAGCACTGTGGACCCAGAAGTGGTAGGATTTTGTATTCATTCTTGAGATGATTCGAGCATGTTTACAAGCTTTATGTAAACCTGATTTCAATTTATCTTTTTTTTTTAAACAAAAGATGATATTTTAGTTTCGAAAAATCGTTTTTAACCATTTTATATATGTTTTCTGATTTTTTTTAGTGTGTGACATTTTGATTTCAGATATTACAGATAATTGATGGAAGTCAGCAACATGTTAACCTTAGGCTTTGGAATGAAGGTGGTCTTTGCATGAAATTTGGTTGTGAAGAGGTGGGTAGATATAATTTATGGCAATGTAATATCTTATTAAACTTCCGTAATCAATTTTTTAAGCTACTGAGAGCTTTGATGCAGGCCTTTCAATATTAGCATTGTAATTTGGCAATTAAAGCTTTTCAATGAGGTCTTTGAGCCTTAATTTGGATATTATAAGATTAATTTTTAGTGGGTTTTAATCTATAACATACTTTGTGCAGGAGGTAAGTTTGAAATGGCAGGAATGGCTGAAGGGCCCCAGAATGAAGGTGCATGCTTCCCACTCGCAAATTATATATGGCTTTAAATTATGCTACCTGTTCTATTAATTCGTTCTGCTAGCTTTTTCTCTTATATATTTTGCAATATAATTTGGATTCAGGAAATAGCCGAGAAGATGCAGTGTAAATTTTTTCTACACGTAAGTTGTTGCTACCTTTTATGTTTTTATGGTTTAAGTTTTTTTTTTTTTTTTTTTTTGGGGGCCTAATCACCTTCAGTTGACGTGAGAATTTACGATTTAAATTTTAGGAAATGAATGATTAGAAGCACGGCCTTACTGCTGTTGGTACATATGATGGTTTGGAGATGCTGAGGATGGTAGTGGAAGGCTTCCTTGTTTACAATGTTGATCCTGCAAACTTTATGGTGACAATTGCACACAAACTATCAAATGAGACTGCTAAGAGTCGCTGCAAAAGTTGTATCAGACGTAACGGTAGCGTCATCTCTTCCTTATTATTCATTTGCTTTTCCTAAATGGTTCTCAATCTTTGGTAAAATGGACCTGTAATTTGATTTTTTTTAAGTTGAGATTTTGAAATCGTACTGGATGCAGGCTTGAACTGATGCCTTCTCACGAGCTTTTGCATTTATTTTGTGCAGCCTGGTTTGTGCAAGATGCTTGGCCTATGGTCAAGTCTTCTTTAGATGAGCACGGCATCTTAAGCGATCTGAAAATGGTATGTTTGATGCATTGTTTGATTTCAAGGCCCGACTGCTGGGCATCGTTTGATGCATCACATATGTTTCCCTCAGGCTGATCGTTCCATGACAACCTCCAAAACCGTGAAGACTAAGGACCCAGAGCTTTTTCTCAGGGCCAGGATTCTTCTTGAACTACTAGGAGGCGCTAGTATTCCAGCTTCACTTGTATGCTACTTGTTATTTCTTTGTGGGAACTGAGCTGACTGTTAATGTGAGCTACTTCCTGCTGGGCTCACAACATTTTGGTTTCAGGCTATAGAAATTATGAACGGTCGCAGGCAACATATCTTCATGAGGATTGGGCATCAAGAAGGTGGTCTGTGCTCAAGGTTTGGGATCAAGGAGGTCGGTATATTATAAACTCTCCTTAGTTTGGTTTGATTTTGGAAATAAGGTTTAGAGTTGATTAGTGTCTGGTGGTTAATATGAAGAGCTTTTATCTACTGTTTGCAGGACGAGCACAAACAACGGTTGGTGAAATTTATGGCCGCTGATAAGGTGAATAAAACAGAAGATTATAATGCTGATGTAAAATATGTATAAGTTTGTACATACGTACTCTTTCAGTTTGCTTTTACTCTAATCTTTGACAATACAATTTTGATGTAGGATCTTTCTGACTTGACAGACACGACTGTTCGTCACGTTGTAAGTGTTGTCAGCTGTGATTTGGGTTGTTAGGGGGTTGGGTTTACTCTTTTTCCCAACGGCGAACTGAGAATTGTGAATTACTGATCATTTCATTATTTTTGTAAATGAATAACAGGGTCACACTGTTCTTCTGTTGGGGCGAGCTGATGTTGTTGGTATCTCGGGGCGAGATGATGGGTTGGAGATGGCGAGGACTCTGGTTGAAGGCTACATTGTTCATGGCAGGGAGCATGCATGTGTGACGGAACACCGGGAAATTAAGAAGTCCAGAAAAAGAAAGTATAGAGAAGTGATGTATTGCCTGAGGGAAAAAACAGGTAACTCCTTTTGAGTTTGGTGCACTCAAATTTTAGGCCACTCAGAAAAAGAAAGTATAGAGAAGTGATGCATTGCCTGTTGGAAAAAACAAGCGAAGCGGAGTCTCTCCTTTCAAATTTTAGGCCACTCAAGTAAATTCACGAACACCATCTCTTTCTTAATTTTGTTTTAATCCTTAAAGAAACCAAGGGACGGTTGGCTGTAGTCGTTTGCGGGCAAACAAAAATTGGGTGTGAAATATTTTTCCGTCTACCATATGTGTTTTGTTATATGCTATGGCTGTTTGGTGCAATCCACGCCGCAGTTGAGCTAGCACTCACCAGAGCCTCTTTTAGATGGGGGACGGGGCGGGGCGGTTGCGGAATAGTTCCGATTGGAATTTCGTATGTTTATTTGCTAGCCATCGTCTGCAATGTGGTCTACGCCATAGATGAGTGGTATGGACAAACTACAAATATCAGAAACAAACCAGCACGACTCGTCTCTCTGTCCGAACAATTTTTCAGTACAAACAAATCACGTTTACAATTGATAAATAACCACTTAATCGGTCGGAGCCACATTTGTTTGGAAAAACTTGGTTGAAAAAAGGCTAAGCTTTTACAATGGAACGCTACAAACAAACATGCAAATGTTGGTATATAACAGCTTTGCTCATTCCGGCAGGTACGGCGAGGCTGGCCGTTGTGGGGTCTGGATACTCGAGGCCTTGGACTTGTCTTCTGACGATGATCGGTTCTCAGAATCCGGTGGCCGGATGTCCTCGATCATCCTAACAACTTCCTCCATGGTAGGTCTCATGTCTGGCACCGTTGCCACGCAAGTCATTGCTATTTGAAGCATTTGTACCAACTCCTCTTCGATATTTTCACACCTCATTAGCTCCACGTCAAACACCTCGGCTGTCCATTCCTCTCGAACAACAGACTGGACCCATCTTGGAAGATCAACAACATCGTCGCGCCCAGGTGATTGTAATGGTGCTTTGCCAGTCAGCATCTCAAGGAGCATTACACCAAAACTATAAACATCGGATTTTTGAAAGGACTTCTTAGTTTCAATAACCTCGGGAGCTCGGTAGCCCACGCTTCTGGAAGGGATAGCTGTAAAGTTCATGAGAGGAGCTAGGCCGAAATCTGAGATGCTGCCGGTGAGGTCCTGCATGAGGAGGACATTGGAGGATTTGACGTTGCCATGGATGAATTTCCCTCCACTGGCTGAATGGATGTGGGCAAGGCCCTTGGCACATCCAAGAGAGATATTTAATCTGGTTTCCCAGTCTGGTGGATGCTGTCCGCTTTCCCTGTTTCCTGTAAAATACGAGAGGTGAAGGACTTCATTTCTGACGGAAAATTCATACGTTTACCTTGCGAAGCATATCGTTGTTACAGCTTTGAGCACAATTAGAGCAATACTTTGCCCGTGAACGAAACTTTGTAGTCTACCATCAAAAAGCACGACGAAAAAGGGGCATACCGTGCAATAATGCTGAGAAGCTACCAGCTGGAATGTAGTCATATACCAGGAGTTTCTCATCTTTGGAGTAGTAATAAGCTCGAAGAGGCACAACATTTGAGTGCTGACTAATCCTCCCGGCATTCTCCATTTGCTGTTCGAACTCTCTTTTCCCGACCACCACTTCTTTCATCCTTTTCACCACCACCGTTGTTCCCTCCTCCAAGATGGCCTTATAAGTAGTCCCATAACTCCCCTTTCCTAGGACTTCAGCCGAAGCTCTTAGCAGATCCTCAAGATCAAAGTTATAAGAAGAGCCTTCAAAGAAAACCAGCTTGTTCTTCTCTGCCTCTTGCACCCCACTTCCAAAGTCCTCTTTTGGCTGTTCGCCTTTTGTTTTCACTACAGCACTGCCTTGGCTGTCTTTTTTCTTCAAACAGCATAGCACTATCACCAGAACTGAGAGAAACAACACTGCAAAACCACCACTTGCAATGGCGATGATAGCCTTTATACTAAGTTTCCTCTTTGATCCATTTTTTGATTTCAAGGGGGCTGTTGGTGGAAGATTGGGGGATGGAGAAGGCGAGGGAGTGATCGAAGAACAATGGTTTAGTGGTGAGCCGCATAACTTCAAGTTTCCTTCAAAGGAGGAAGTGGGGAATTTTTTGAGGGAAAGAGGAATCGAACCATTAAGTTGGTTGTAGCTCAAATTCAAATGCATAAGCCTTGGAGTTTTGATATCAGGAATAGGTCCAGTGAGGGAATTGTTTTGGAGGTTCAGCCCCCTGAGACGCGTAAAGTTTTGGATTGTGGCTGGAATGTTGCCGGTGATGGAGTTGGACGACAAATCAAGAAAGATAAGACTGGGAGTCAGAGAAGAGGGAATATTACCTGTAAGATTATTGTTTTGAAGGTATATGTAGCGTAAGGAAGGAAGTGAGAAAATATCAGATGGAAGATTCCCACTGAGGCCATTAGACCTAAGGCTAAGGATCATGAGGGCATCGAGCCTGCCAAGAGTGTTTGCTGGAATAGGACCAAACAGTCTAGCACCTGGAAGTCGGACAGAAAGCACACGGGTGCCATCCAAGGTACAAGTGATGCCAACCCAAGACTTGCAGACTGGATTAGCAGGATCCCAGTTAACTCTTCGGCCATGAGGAACAGAAGAAATAAAATCGAGAAGGGCTTGCTTGTCTGAATCGATGTCAGCTATCGTTCGGCAAAGGAAAAGGAAGAGAATTACCGTCCCACAAAATAGATGTGGCTTCATCAGTATTGCTCGTTGAGAAATCCGTTAGCAAGTCGGACTATGAGAGTAATCTCAGCAATCTTTCTGCTTCCCCTGAAAAAAGAACAAAGCTTTCAGAACAGTGCTCTTAAAGATTTCTCCAAGAAATCAACTTCCACATCTTTCGATCAGGCATAGACATAACTAGTTTATACAACGTTGACATCGGGAGGGCCACGTTTTTGGCCTACCATGCCATCGAATATTTGTGCAAAATGTGTAAGTTCAAGGCTGGCAAGAAAGCATTCACCACAACATCATCTAAAAGACAAACTTACCACTAAGACATTTAACAAAAGAATAGAAAACAAAAGGCGAAAGTATAAATCTTTATTCGCCAAAAAGAAAGCGAAAGGCTTAGAGCACACCACACAAAATGCTGGAAGAATACCCCTTCAGCTTTTATATTTTTTGCTTGATGGAATTAGGAGTGTGGAAGTTCAGGGCCAAAGGGCTAGAGGAAAATCTAGGAAGACTTTGGAAGAGACTCTAAGAAAAGACTTAGAGTACTTGGATCTAACGAAAGACATGACACAGAACCAAGCACAATAGGGTTCTAAAATTCATATAGCCGACCCCACTTAGTGGGAAAAGGCTTTGTTGTTTGAATGTAGGAGTTCAAGTTCATCCACTAGTTCTCGATGAGAAATACGTACAAAAAGACACCGTGCAAAGCTCTAACTAAACTAATGTCATAACAATGAAACGTAAAGTTATCACATGCCGAAACTGAAAGGCACACACAACACTTGAAATGCCAATCATACTTCACATGGCATTGGACAATAACACAGATTTTTTCGACTAATGCCAAATTTGCTTCTTAATCCTTTGTTTTTTCAGCCTGGTACAAATTCGACAAAACATTTACGAAGTCGGTTTATTTCTCAAGAGAAATAAAGGTATAGTAGTTTAAGCTTGGCTATTCAGATTAACACTGCACATCGGATTTATTTCCCCCGGAAGCCAGTGCTCAATTTCACGGTGAAGTTCATCATAAATGCATCAAAGTCACTACTTAGCCATAGATTAGCAGAGAAACAGGGTAAAATACATGAATTTAACGGCTAAATTTCGTCGTCAATGGAGCTCAAATTGTCCTATGTTTTCCACAATACTTACTACCCAGAACCCAACATTTGATTCTACACGAACCCCTCGATTCCAAAACCCCAGCTTGACCAGAAAAACACCAAATTTTACCACTAAATTCTCCAAAAATTGAAAAAAATAAATGCATATATGCCAGCAGAAAGAGCTAAACAAGTTCAAATAAAAACCCCAGAAAAATTGAAGTACGAGGAGAGAAGACTGACCGTTGGAGCAGAAAAACGAGTCGATCCGAAGCCGGAGCTCGAACCCAGCCGGAAATGTGGAGGCTTGGAGAAGTGAGAGAGTGACTCAGTGAGTGTGTTTAGTAATTTTGGTGGGTGTGCTTTAACGGCATTTCTTCAAGAACACGCAGCAAAAAAAGGATTGAAGGATTAAAGGAGTGAAAAGTAAGAAGATGGGTTCCCAGATTCGCCAGCAACGCAGAGACTAACGTTCATTAGAGAGAGAGAGAGAGAGAGAGAGAGAGAGAGGGGTGCAGGTTGATGATGCTTGTTCGTGAAGGGAAAGGATTAATTGGTTTTTTGGCACGCAGATCTCGAGTCACAAAAAAAACGTACATTTCACTTTTTTTTTTTTGAAATAGTTCCGTTTTACCCTCCATTTGTTGGTTCAGAGGTGCGTTTAAGAATTCTTCTTGGCAAGAGATTTAAAATATTTTTCTAACAACTGAAAACATTTGCGTTTTTTGTTACATTTGATAGAAGAAATTTAAAAGTTAATTATGAATTGTAGAAGGGGTTTTCATTAAGATGCAATAACTTTCAAGTGATATTTCATAAATAACTTTGAATTTTTAATAAACATATCGACGTGTTTCTACTTTCTAATAAAAGTACTTTTAACAAAATCATTTATGCGTAAAAACATTTGCTACGTAGTACAAGCCGGGCATCAATAAATCCCAAGAGTTTCATGAAAGATCTCTAACACTTCCAAGTGTTTTTACAACTATGAACACTCCTAATTGTTGGTTAAGGGAAAGGATTAATTGGTATTTTGGCACGCAGATCTCAAGTCACCAAAAAAACGTACATTTCTCTTTTTTTTTTTTTTTTGTATTAGTTCCGTTTTACCCTCTAATTGTTGGTTTAGAGATGCTTTTAAGAATTTTTCTTGGCAATGGATTTAAAGCGCTTTTCTAATAACTGAAAGCGTTCACGTTTTTTGTTACGTTTGACAAAAGAAATTGAAAAGTTGATTATGAACTGTAGAAGGATTTTTTTTATAAGAAGCAAGGACTTTTAAGTGATCTTTCATAAATAATTTTGAATTTTTAATAAACATTTCAGCGTGTTTCTACTTTCTAAAAGTATTTTCAACAAAATCGTTTATGCATATAAACATTTGCTACATAGTGCAAACCGGACATCAATAAATTCCAAGTGTTTTTACAACTATGAACACTCCTAATTGATTCATATACCCCTTTTTATCTCTGACTATCAAACTGAATAAATCATACGGAAACAAAGGACAAGATTTAACATAAGTGTGTGAGAAGTTACCAAAAATGCGTTTATTAACATCCCCTTTGAAATATACTTCCAAACATGCCCCAAGTTATATCTGTCATTTGTCATGAAAAAGCAAAGGACTTGTGAACTATTAAATTTAATTAAGCATTGAGATTTAAAAGGAGAGAAGAGTGAATTATACACTAAAATCTTGATTAAAAGCAATGAAATTTGGTCAGCGGCTTTTGCCAAAGGCCATGTGTGTTCATTACGTTTGTTTATGAATTATGACACTAAAAATCCCACAAGATTTTTCACAAAACCCTCGTAGCTTAATTTTCAACTTTTCGAAAATGTTTTAGCTGATGAATTAGTAGTTATTGTTCTTGTTTCTTATTATAAGTGATGTGTTTCGAACATATGTTCACGCATGAGTGAGCGGTTCCAAATACGTTGCATAAACGGGTTCAGACTCACCCACTCACACATAGGCGGCTCGCTAATAAATTGTAATGCCTTCTTGTATTCAAGTTTGAATTTTTTTACTTATAAATTAGAATAATTTTAAAATATCGCATTATCAAAGAAAATTAATTCAACGGCATGCATGATGCATTTTTTGAATCTTGAATTTTCTTTCAAGAAATAAATAAGAAGAAAGGTTCTTTGCTGTGCTCTTAATTTCCTGATCTGGCGATGCATTCCATATTTTGGTAAATTGCAAAACAAATAGTTGCCTTCATATTTATTTATAAAATTCTGGCAAAAGAAAAGAGGTCCACTCCTTTCTTTGCTACTGTGGACTGTTGAATGCTCCTGATCAGTACCCTGGTTAGATGCATCATTCACTCTCCCTCTCCCTTGGATCGAGATTCACTCGAGATTTCTATATCCGGAGCATACAAACTAAGAGATTTGAACGCCTCAATTTTAATCATTCTCCCCTATTAGCCCATTCTGCTGACCTAATTCTCAAAAATCCAAAAACTTGTTTTGGCCCAGATGAGCCTGTAGACAAACCCACAATTCCAAAAGCTTCAGTTTTGGGCTTTTAAATCAAACCACAATTTGAGTCTTCAATTTTGGCCCACTTAAGTCCCTAGTTGAGCCGTATTATACAGTGTGCCCATCCCTTTGCACCAGTAACGACATGATCGATTAACTATGGCTCCATAAGGGCTTTCAATTTAGGAAGCTAATTGCAAATACATTGAAGACCAACAATAATAAAATGCATTGATTTCACTGCAAAAAGCAAGTAAATGGCTCTTCATGCTTTTGTTTTACAGAGGATTCATCCCATATTAAGAAACCATATAACTTAAAACAAGAAGAAAAAAAATAATTAACACCACTTGCTCAAGTCATGTGTTACAAGAGCCCGTAGGGTTCAGGCAGATGCTCGAATCCACTATCAAAGATCGGTCCTTGATCGAGTTTATCATCCACACTGTGCAGCCAGTTCGTGTTCTTCAAGTCTTCTTTCAGCAATATGGCATCATAACGCGAGCTCTCATAGATGTCCACTTCACTCAGTTTTGCAGAGTATCGTCCGCTGTCTACTTCACTCCCGTTTTCTAAAAGCCTATTAATTATGTGTCCATTCTCTGAGGTGAATCCGTTACCGTTGGTTTGGTGGCTTCCGTTAATGCGGGCAGATACTGGAGTGCTCAATGGGCGTGCAGACTGGGCATTGGGAGTGGAAGTGGATGATCGAATGCTCTGAGGAAAGAGGGTGCTGCCTGAAAGCTGACGAGCATTTGCTGATCCATTTCTTATATCCTACATCAGATAGTAGATCAAGCATTAGAATTTATTGTTAACTCGTTCCAAAATTCTCTAATAAATTTGAACAAGTTATCATATGATGCCAAGGAAAGTGATTTATACCATATGTCGGATTGCCATGTCGAGGGATTTCTTTGAGATAGACCTCCCAAATCCAGTGCTGTCTGCAGGTGGTGTTGAAGTCTTCACAGGCTTCCGCATACCCAGATCAGGGATATGTGTAGACTTCCGAGGAGGCTCATGAACATCAGGAAGGCGTCCATTGGAATGTACACGTCCCCTGGAAGGGGACTCTGTGAGTCTTCCCCTTGAGACAATGGGTGATGACTGTCTTCTTGGCACAATCGTGGCAGCTGGGGGTTCTGGTTTCCCCTTCATTGTGGAAGCAGCACCTGGACGGGACCTACCAGCAGATATTGGCCTGTCTGGTAATGTTGTTCTAAGGTTTGGTGGTGTGTCAAGAGGAAAATCAGGAGGAACGATTGGCTGTGGTGGGGGACGGACCCGTGGACTAGGGGAGCTTGGTCGGGATGAGGGTGCTGAACTGCGCCCATTTGACAGAACACCACGACCAGCTGAAGGTGAAGGACTTGATGCTCGAGACAAGGAAGGCAACGAACTCCGGCGAGTGGGAGTAGATGGACGAGAGTTTGGTCGTGAACCATGTGAAATCAAGTTTGCAGGAATTTGTGGCCTGGAACTACTCGGAGTTGAGGGCCTTGATGAGCTTTGCATTGGTCGAGGTTTCTCAACGGAAGAAGTGGTCGAAACTGTACGGGTTCTAGAAGGAGTTGTGGTTCGTGACAGCGATGGGCGAGAGGTTGGAGTGGAAGGTCTTGCTATAGACGGAGAGCGGGTAATGGGGGAGGAGGGTCTGGTGTAAGACGAGACTGAAGCTGAGCTCGTGTTAAGGATATTCGAGGATCTGTTGGAGGAATAGTTGTTGTATACTGAGGCAGAGGTCGCAGAGCGAGTCACCGAACTGCTTCTAGCAGGTCTGGACGAATGGTTACTCTCGGATTGCGAAACTGAAAGCTGCAACAGAAATACAAATTAAGAAAACAATGAAGTAAACTTCCTCAGCATAAAGTTTTCTTGCTCATCTGGACGAAGCTATCTAATCTCTTAACAGAAATTCACGATTTACGCGGATGAAGTCAGCTGGCAAAGACATACCCTTGAAGGCCTAGCTGCAGAACTGGGTCTACTTAAACTTTTTCTTGGAGGAGCTAAGGTCTGTTGAGATTCACTTCCATCTGACGAAGGAAAAAGCGGAGTTTCAGGAGGAGTGAGAAGCCTGATAACACAAAAATGTAATGAAAATCAGATACGAGTATAACAATTTAAACCAACAGTATTGGACATCATACAAAACTTTCAATCGAACTATTTCGCATCTGTTTATCCAAAAGCTTGTTGAATAGAGCCTAGAAAGCATACTTCACCGAAAAATCGGGCTAATCCAAACCCATTGGTTAAAATCGGCAACTGACTGATATAATAGAATTAAACAGACAGACATTTCATTCAATCCATTTGCCAAGACTCAAACAAAAGAATGGTAAATGTTTGGAGTTCTGGCTCGAAGTATATGCCGCAAAAAACCAGATCGGATTATAATGTGGATAGTTTCAGGGAAACTTTGAAATGCTGACATTACAAGATGCACTGAGAATTCACAAGATTTGATATCATCTTCCTCATGTGAACTATGTCCTTTTTTTGACGAGACAATATTCTAAACTATCCTAATTTACGGGGAGGGGGATTCGAACATGGGTGCAAGGGGATGGGCACATTGTCCTGACCAACTAATCAAGCAAGGAATTATTTTGAATCTGACATCTCCGCCGCAAAAAAATAATAGAATGTGAACTAAAATTAAATCCAACAACACATTATTTGGGTCATGATGCAGTGGAAGAGATGTACAGAGACATATAAATCAGAAAACAGTAAGAAATAATAATGGTTCAACGAGAAAACGAATAAAGATATCTTCTTTTATTCGAGCGATATTCTAATCTAATCTAAACTGTTTTAAACTTACCAGTCGTAATCGTGCTTTCCGCCATCTGTAGATGACAACAGATCATCAATGCCAGTTCTTCCCACCTTGGCCGATCCAACTGACAGCCTCCCTAATTTCACCGAAACTGTTTTTGCAAAAAATCAAATCAATTAAAACAAATTAATCCAAAATTCAACTCAATTGTCGAAAATAAATCTTCCACTCAAAACGGCGCCGTTTGATCGGTTAACTACCAACGGCGACGGCGCCGTTGGGCGGTTAACAAAATCGAGAATCTACATCCTCAGGGACAAGATCCCGACAAATCCTATAGGCTCGTTGTCGGTTCAGGCACTTATCATTCACTAAAATGACCGAACTGCCCTCCGCATCATAACCGATTTTACGGCCTACTTAGCGAAACGGACATTTCTGTCCAAGAAGAAAACGGTTAACTAGCACGAGAAATGTACCGTCGGAAGACTCGTCGGAGGATGTTACAGAGAGAGTGCGGCGGTTCTTCGAGAAGAGATCCAAGCCGCCATCGTCGGAGTCCTTGGCCGCCAAGTGTAAGCTCTGACCGCGCCGGTGCTGCGACCCCATTGGAAAATTCCTCCCTCCGGCCAGAGATTCCCTCACATTCCTGTTCATCATCGCTCCCCGGCCAATTCCTCTATGCCTCTCACACCATATCTCTCTGATTCTTCAGCAAATTGTATGCAGTGGAAGGGCGAGAGAGAATGAGAGAGTGAGTGTGAGATCTAATGGTGCAGAGAGAGAGTGTGGTAGATGAAAAGAGAGACAGCGAGTCATCGAGCTGCTGTTATTTGTTTCACCTTTACGTCGTACGTGAGAGAAAGTTAGAGAGAGAGAGGGAGAGAGAGGAAGCTGGAGCTTTTTTCAGATCTGTCGAATTGCAACTAGAATTGCAATACTGAAGTTACAGATTCGAGCTTTTCTCTGAATATTTTATTTTGGGGGTCATTGGAGCATTGGGTAATTGGGAAGCTCCTCCTTCTGCTATTTAATTTTTTTTTTTTTTTGGGGGGTTTTGATTTTCTTTTAACTCAAGGGTATAGGTTACACATGATGAGTTGATCAAGCAACACTCGGTTTTTACTTAAAATTTAGTAGTCAGTTCGATATTAAGTTGCAGTTTGTCACGAGTGAATTAACGATTATATGTAAAACTTCACTACACGTTTTATGCTAATTACATTTTTAATACAATGTTATATTACATCAAGGGTAAAAAAATAAGTTAATTTCAAACTCGTTATCTATCAAATTTGAACTTGTCACTTACATGTGCAATATATATATATATATATATTTATAAAAGAGGGACAACGAGTACAATTTTAACTTATTTTTGTAAAAAAAAATATTATTAAAACGTAGTACAATTTTAACTCGTATTGGTATACAATATTTCAAGTTAATATGTCACATCCCGGCCCGGGACGGATCACTTCCCGGGCCCGCTCCACCACCGTGCTAGCGGATCACTTCTCGGGCCCGCTCCACCACCGTAGCACAATATTGTTCGTTTTGGGCTTACCATTCCCTCACGGTTTTGTTTTTGGGAACTCACGAGCAACTTCCCAATAGGTCACCCATTATAGGATTGCTCTAGCCCCCTTCTCGCTTAACTTCGGAGTTCCTACGGAACCCGAAGCCAGTGAGCTCCCAAAATGCCTCGTGCTAGGTAGGGATGAGAATATACATATAAGGATCACTCCCCTGGGCAATGTGGGATGTCACAATCCACCCCCCTTAGGGGCCCGACGTCCTCGTCGGCACACCACAGCCAGGGTTAGGCTCTGATACCAAATTATCACATCCCAGCCCGGGGCGGATCACTTCCCGGGCCCGCTCCACCACCGTAGCACGATATTGTCCGTTTTGGGCTTACCATTCCCTCACGGTTTTGTTTTTGGGAACTCACGAGCAACTTCCCAGTAGGTCACCCATCATGGGAATTCTCAAGCCCCCTTCTCGCTTAACTTCGGAGTTCCTACGGAACCCGAAGCCGGTGAGCTCCCAAAAGGCCTCGTGCTAGGTAGGGATGAGAATATACATATAAGGATCACTCCCCTGGGCAATATGGGATGTCACATAATACGTCTAACAGTATATGATTAGAGAATTTGTTTTTTAAGTGTTCGGTATGCAAGCTGATACCTCACATGTCATAAAACAAGTCAAGATACATAAAAAAGGTATATTATTTTTCTCACTTATATTACCTATAGAGTACTATTTGAATGAATCCGGACCCTCGCCGAATTCTTTTTGTGAGGATTTCAGGGATTCGTTGTATTCGTTTATTGTACATTGTGCAGTTAGAAATCATTTTAAATATTTTTATTTAAAATTAAACACAAACATTACATGACAAAAATTGAATACACGATGTACGATAAACGAACACGATTCAAGGATCCCCATGATCTTCACCAAAAGGATTTGGAGAGGATCCTTTTGGTGTTTGAATACACAATACTTTAAAGGGGATTTTAACGAAACACTTCCAGTACTATTCAATTTTAACGAAAAATCATATTTTTATTTTTTTCTGATACTGTTCACTACACCTTTATTTATCATTTTTCATTAAAATTAAAGTATTTTTAAAATTTTGTTAGTTTTCCTTAAAAGTCCCTCCGTGAAGAGGCATCCAAGTATAATATCTATCCTCTCAAGGGGAGAGGTGGAATAATAATACACAAAATGTGGCCAATAGATGCTCATTCCCATTCATGGTGGTGTGTGTCAGGGACTGATGAACAAATTACAAGCACAAGGAGAGTCACTTTTCACCTTGGTGTGGGGCCCAACATAATGTTTAGGGCATGTGAGTGGACCAAAGGCAAAAGTCATCAAACAAAAACTTGGTTTGGTACTGAAGTGATTTTGAAAAAAATTGGTATTAGAAAAAGTTAGGAGCTATTTTTGTGTTTGGTAAACATTCAACTTCAACTTTTTTTCACAGTTTTGGGTAAAAAAAAAGCCAAAAACAAGAAGCTGCAAAACCCAGCTTTGAAAAACCAGCTTTTTTTTCACATCTGTTTTACATAAAAGTTTACCAAACATTATAATACTACTTTTTTTTTTTTTCAAAAGCACTTTTACAAAAAAATTTACCAAACACTCTGCTGCTTTATTTCACAGCTGTTTATTCTCACAGTACAACAGAAGCAGCTTTTTATCAAAGCACAGCAATACCAAATCAGCCCAACCTAAACCTCATGTGTCATTCCCACAACACACCAAACAACAACAAAACTAGCCACATGATTTTACTCCATTAGTCATCAACTCATCATCATGTTCATCTTCTTTTATCCTCGACAAATTTTTTAGAGTACCAGAAATATCAGTGTATTAAGTGTCATAATATAAGTAGTTGAATTTTTTTTTTGTTTTTTGAACACAGTGACAATTCTGCTCTTCCTCCAACTTGGTCATGATTTTTGTGGCAAAAAAATTGGCCTTTTTTTAATTATTTTGTTAATTACTTGAGTTTTACTATAAATGATGTTTATGGAAAGCTTTAAAGGGTCTTTGAGAATGAATCTGGATCCTCGCCTAATCCACTTTGTAAGAATCCTAAAGATACGTATATCCGTTTATCGTATATTATGCGGTCAGAAATTATTTTAAATATTTTTATTTAAAATTAAATACAAACAATATCTAATAAAAACTGATCGCATAATATACGATGAACGAATATGATTTACGAATTCCCATAATCCTCATTAAAATGATCCGGAAGGGATGGTGTTGGATTGAGAATTGGTTTATCTAATTATTGGACCCACCTCTATTGACTTTCTTGGTAATTGCATACCCTTCAAGGAAGATCAAGGGTTAAATCCCCAACCTACCGAATGATAACTTGGATCACGTTGACAATTATTTAGACTAATATTTATTGAGCTGGTAGCTTCTAGCTTTTTAATATCATTATCTAGAGGTCTTAGGTTTGACATCACTTGATACTACGGTTTAATGATATTTTTCTTTATTTATAAATGAGAGGTTTTAAATTATACTCTCACTAAAGACGAATTTGAATTACATATTGCTAACTCATTATAAGACTAAACATACCCTTTCTCCTTAGCTTAAATAATTTCGTTTGTTAAAAAAAAATATTATTATCTTACCGCCACTTAATACTAGGTCTAATAGTATTCCTTTTCACTTGTAAGTGAAAGATCTTAGGTTCGATTCTCACCAAAGACGAATTTAAACTACATTATTACTAGCTTATTCTGAGGCTAAGCCTACTCCCTCCCCTTAATGTAAATAATATCATTTGTTAACAAAAAAATCATTATCTTTACCATAACAATATAAGTTTCTATTTTCCATTTTTGTATTTTGTAACCTATTATTAAACAAAGACGTGACATTTTGCCAACTTGAGGGGGTGTCAAATAAAGTCCATGTTTTATATTATGCGTGCAACTTAGTCATTGTTACACATGGAATTTATTTGTGGATCTTACATTCATTAATAGCTGACAATTATCTTTAAATGTTATTTTATTTATTTTATTTTAAAAAGTGTGCATCGTTTGATGCATCTTATACTCCACAAAACGTATGACAAGTTTCGTTTCCAATCACTACCGTTGAATTAACATTTTAGGCCAGAGAAAAAAAAAAAAAAAGCTAGGACATTTTAAGATCTAAACCTAAAATGTCTTTAGCATTTTTTTTCAATCAATTACCATACAATTTAACAGTAAAATTGTTATGATTTTTTTTTTTTTGGGTGTTATTTTAGCGAATAAAATAAACACGAGCATACTGAAGTTTTCGGTCTGGTTAAATATAAACATGACGTGACACCTTATTTTAATTTAATTAATTTATTTATAAAAGGGCCGTGACACAATATTTTGCAGGAGACCAACCATGATACTATATGACAATCATAATATTTTCTTTAGTCAAATATCACAATCATAATATTATGCAATCACAAATCCTCAATGGGCCAGGTGTGGCCCATGGTCATCAGAAGCTCCCAATACTGCTGGACCATTTGAGAAAATGATGCGTGCAACTGTATGGCCCAACATACTAAGCCCAGGATGACTTAGCCACGTGATGCTTCCGCATGTAAAAACACTAACGAATAATCCGACAAAAACCAACCACATGACATAAAGCAATAAGCTGATATATATATATATATATATATATATATATATATTTTTTTTTTGAAATAATCCACATCGATTTTGAGAAAATAAAATTTTAAATATTCTAAACTCATTTCAATTAATACCGAGTCATTTTGTAATGAAATTCTACGCTTTATCGATTGTGCAGATAATAATTAACAAGTTTAAGACAATATCAATGTTGTTAGAATACGTCTCTCTGATAATTTGACATTTGACTCTAGGCTTTGCAACTTAAAAAAATTTCTATTTAACTTTTTAGTGAGAAAATTAATGTTGTAGTGTATTTATTATTTATTTATTAATATCATAGTTTAAAATATAAAATTGTTTTGTTATATTGTAACATATGATAGTAAGTTGGATAAATTTTTTAATGTTTTTCCTTTTAAATTTCATTATTTGTATGTACATTGTCTTGTGGGACACTCATGAACATACACATACATGTTTTGTATATGAATCTTTATAAACAAAGCTAAGTAGGTGCTCAACATTGGAAGAAATTTATCGGTTAATTTTTTGAACAGTATAAACTTAAATGGAATGAGTTTATACAGCAATAATAGGCAAGTACAACATACAATGTTAGTCTTCAGGAATGTTCACCTGCGCACCTAAATTATGTGCATGATTCGCGTTAACAACGTATATTAACCATATTCACAATGTAATAACAATACAATATCTACATATATATTGTTAATTTAGTGGAGATAGTCAATACACTATCTATTCAAGTCATGCACATAATTCAGGTGCGCGGGTGAACAAACCTGTGCGAGTCTTTGAACTAGCTGCGTGGTCCATGTGCAACCCATAAAATGGCGGCGTGGCTCAGAGAAGC